TTTTGCTTTGCCATGGAACAGTTTCTCCATTCCTACCTGGCTTGATTTCTCTGTACTTCTGTGCCTGGTAGCTCAGAGACAATGTTCTCAACACTATTTTAGCTCAGCTACAGCTCCATAAGCCCCTACGCATTTTATAATTTCCCCTCAGTAACACATGCAGCTTTTATTAATGCCTTTATACTTCAAGTCCACTATAGATACAAAGAACCATTTATTCCATAATACAAATAAATATTGGGCCATGTGCTGTGAATTTGAATGGAGTTCTCCATGTATATCTCTCCAGAAAACAACCATCCTTTAGGATCACACAATCCATTAGTACCAGGCAACACAGTTTTTGAAAGAAACAGAAAAATACTGAAGATATTCTGAAATTTTTAAAAAACCCACAAAACAATCATGCACCCCAGGCTTCATGAAGTCATTTAAAAGTGAACTTATTCCTTGGATTTATATATGTAGCATTTTAAGCAAATTCTGTATAAGTTGTACTTTGCATGCTGATTTCTGTACACATGAAAACTGAACTACACATTAGAAAAAAATTAATAGTAGAAAACATTCAAATGTACTCTTTGGTAGAAAATACACCTAAATATATTTGGTTGCTTTGGGTTTTTTAAAGCCATGTTTTCTTGAAATGTAATTAAAGCTGAAAACAAAGGATTTTTTTAAAAGTGCCCAAGTACAAGCTGAAATCAATGTTTGTTACAAGGTATCTGTGTAGAAGAAACACTGGACTGCTTCTTCAAAGAATAAACATTTCTTTATTCACAGTGCACTTGTTTCATCCCTGGGTATTGTGTAGACATAGAACAGTTGAACTTATTTAGAGCAAAAAGAAGCTGTTGCGTAAAGGTTAAAAATCTAGATCAATGTCACTCCTAAATTACAGACAACTGCATCCACACTGCTTAGCTCAAATTGCTGGAAACCTAAGTGCAAATGTAACCATCTTAAGGCAAAAGCTTGAATTCTCAACTAACATTTAGACTGGAAATCATGTATGTTTAAATTTGTGCCTAGGGAATCACATCCCAGCAGGGACTTCCACAAGAACTGAGCTTTGCCCTGTATGTGCATATGGTACGGCATGGACTGTGCCCTAAATAAATGCCTAAATAAAACCTTATAAATGCTGAGATGGAAAGTGGAACCCTAACAAATTAGGATGAATTAAGGTTGCAAGACAAGCTACTACATATCCACTGATGACCTCAATACTTAAAAGGAAGAAACCCACTGACTTTTTGTTGCTAACAGTTTGGGACTGTGCTACCCTAGTTCTGCTTTCAGCTGCTGAAAAGTCACTGCAGTTAAAAATGTCACTCCAGTTCCCAGTTCAAAAGTCATTCTGGTCACCTTCTCAAAATGGGGTGATATGACTCAAAGAGTCATAGAAGCAGAGTATCTACAGCTACTTCAAACAGAAAAGCCTGCAGTCTGAAAGTTTTAGAAGAATAAAGGTTATTTTGCCACAAAGAGTTCAGTAGTATTTCACACTGAATTTCAACAGTAAAACATGCATGTGTGTGTAGCATGGAGCAAATATTTAATTAAGGAAGCATTTCTCATTCCCATGTTTTCACAATAATGTGGTTGTAGAATTACAAGGTACTGATACTACAAATAGAAGTATTTCAGGTTTGCAGTGTTGTTCAGTGAGACTAAAATTCATGAGCTGACAAAACTCAACAAGAACACAACATGCTCTGAGCAGCTAAGCTTTTGCTTCATTTGGAGGCTCACTGGAAGCAATTATTTAAGGGGAGGGGGCTTCAAATGCCAGTGAAGTCCAGCACAGAAGAAGGGTCACAGCCATTACCTGACAAACATCAAACAGCCAGTGGGAAAGAAGTATTTGGGAGCAATAATTAAACTCAAGTTACATGGTCAGGTTTACATTTCACAAAGTATTTGTAAAGGAAATATATTAAAAGAAACCAATACATTCCTGAATAGTTGTTGAGTTTGAGACATCCAAACCAGCATGTAGAGCATCTGCTTTTCAGTCTGCCTTCAGAAAGAATTTTTAATGATTAAATGTCTTCCTTGACACAATTCACTCACCAAAAAGCCTTGACAGTTCATCAATAGACAGACAGCTGTCTACACACTTACTCTGCTGCTTTAATTTCTGTAGTAAATTGGAACCCCCAAGTTCCAGCTCAACACTGTACCCTCCCAAGAATCACAAATACTACTGCTATATAAAATCACAATTTTTCACCTAGTAATATTATTATTATCAACAGATAAAGAGACAAAGAAAACATTCACCTCCTACTAGCCCAACCAATTTTAAAAGAATGGGGATTATAATCTTATTACATTGTTCAACAGCAGAGACTGATGCAGTGACCTGATTCTATAAGGAATTTACAAGCTATCTAATGCACTGAAGTGCTTTTTAGGACTTCAGTTTCAATTCTTAATAATTTTGGTTGCATATTTTATGTTTTACGTTGTTTGTTCCTCTTTAAGTAGAGCTTACTATCAATTTAACCAATCACTGCATACCCACCCACATGCAGTAGATGCTAAATTACAATGCTGCATGGAAGAAACAAAACCAGAAGAGAAACGTGTGTTAAGAACCTTTACAGGAATGATATAAAAACTGTAATGATGTCCCACAAAATCAAACTGTGTCAGCAGTGCAAAAACACATCAGTACTGCTCTTGCATGCTAGTCTGCATTTATACTGCTCTATTGTATTACCCTTCCCACCTCAGGTTTAGAAGGCTTGTTTCCAGGAAGCCAAGTTTTCCACGTCATATTGTCGCACAATTTATTTGCACCATATTCCTGTTTCAGGATAGAAAACCCACAAGGTTGCTAGCAGGGCAGGTGAGACCATGTCTGCCTAAAGTTTAGAGCTAATCAATTAGTCTAAAATGGAACATAATTTAACTATATAAGGATTGTCTTGATTGTTATTGCATGCATAATCTTGTTACTTCATGATGCGTGATATTCAAACAGTATTGACTCAGGAATATGATGGACAACAATTAGTTCTATCATCTTTATATAAACTTCTGCAAATAAATTGGTGACATGACTTTATGTTCCCAGAATGCTGAATTCACTTGCTGTCCGCCAAAAAAAGATCTAAAGCAATTGAAAAGAAGCAAACGCTTGCATTTTAATAATGGGCCCTATCCCTTACCTTTAGAGAGGCTAAAATATACATTAACCAAAAAAAAAAAAAAAAAAAACACAAAAAAACCCCCCAACACTGAAGGCAAACATTTCAAGGAGGGAGTTGGTCAGAACACAGTGCCTCTCCTGGATGTGTTTCACCTAGCCTGAAAGTCTGTCACAGCAGCTTTCACCCCAGGAACAGTTCACCTCCTGCCTTGGGAATTATACTAGTCTGTACAATGGTCACCAGGGGCAAAACATCAATAAAGGTTCTGAGAAGACAGACAATAAGGTCAGGTCTTTGCATGTAACTGTTCCTGCAGCAGAGCCCTTCTCCTCCAAAACAGGGCTTGGTTCCTGCAGATGCTTTTGTTTTTCACAGAACGCAGCTTAATTGTTGAAAATAACTCCTATCAAAGCTCTTCGTTTGTCATTTGAACAAATTCTAAAAGATAAGATATGGCAGCAGCCAGCAGGGAACCTGCCAGCCTTCCCTGCTGGAAATCCACCAACAGCTGTTCTGGGACAGCAGCTCCTTTTCTCCTTCTCCCTCATGGCTAAGACTAGCAAGAGCTTGTTTCTGGAAACAGGCACCAGCAGAAGTACCCTTCAGCTTCATAGCCTGCTGCCACAACAGGCACCAGCAGTCAAAGTTTTGTAGACTCTACAGGCTGCTACCAACACATCTGCTTCTCCAGCTGTCCTGCTCCTACTCATTTTTTTACTTTCCCAACCTCCTTTCCTCTTTTGCCTTTTAAACCCAGATCCCTCTATGCTCCACAAGCAAAAGCAGCAAGCAAACAAAAGGCAATTCGGGGCATCACCAGAGCTAAAACAAACTCAGCTGCTCTGCAAGAATGCTCTACACCTTTTTATCAAACTCTTATCTTTAAAGGCTGCTTTTTAGCCTGTACAGAAAACACACTTCTTACTCTGAGATACAAGTGTCATTTGCTAGTTGATTCTTCTGCTCCTTAAACTGCCAAGACTCTGATGAAAATAGCGTAACACTTGGGGCAGAAAAGCCTCAGTCATTAGCAAATAACTCGTAGAGTAGGAATTTCAGGTAGTTGGTGAGGACATACAATAGGAAACACTTTCTCTATTATTTATGAAATCTGTTGCTGTTTCCAGGTAATGTAAAATTTTAAAATAATAAAAAAAAATCCAAACATTTAAAGCCTACAAAAATCTAGAAGATTATTTTCATGTGACCATTCTCACTGCTGGTACATAATCACATGTGCTTTTACAGCCACTGAAAACAAAATAATTCCATCCATTACCTGAACCTAGCTCTTTTTCGAGCATACAAGACACACCATATTTTGGATTAAAGCAAATCTGTACAACCTTAGGACCCATACATCAAACTTACAAAGTTTAAGAAAGTTAGTTCTCTGAGGACTAGAACTCCAATACATTATAAAAATTTTTCCATGGGAGCCATTTATGTGAAAACAAAAGCTGACATAAAAATACAAGCATGAGAATTAAGTTCATTTCTGGTGTAAGTCCATTCAGTTGCACAATGGGTCAATCTGGCCCATGATCTGTAGAAAATACTGTCACGATTCATCACAGTAAGAAAAAACTCAAACTTACTTAATGAAAGAGTCAAGTTAACTACATGAACTAGGAAGCAATTGTCAGAAAGATTTAACAATAAAAGTGTGCTTTCCACCAGCACCACACAAATTTAAAGTTCTCAAAGCAAATTTATTTTGTCAAACCAGTATAAGATGCAAACAAGGATGAGCTATTATAATGCCAGTATTACCTTATTCAAGCAGATTAACTCTTGCTAATTATTAAATTACACATTTGGCCTGTTGCATAGTCTTACTGAGTTCTAATTAGCTAGCTGGAAGTGTTCAGGGTGATAGGTGAATATTCGCTGTGCAAAGGGATCGCTGCCCGCTGCCGGCTTCTGTCCTGTGTAATGGTGGTAGCTCTCGGGATGGAAGTGTTCACACTGAAGGCTAATCCATTCTCTCTCAGTACTGTATCTCTCTGCTTCAGCAAGTATTCTAGTGAGAGCCATGATATAACTCAAAGCCATCTGCAGGGTCTCATACTTGGACAGCTTCTTATCCTGACCCCACTGTGGCACCACCTTTCTCAACCGGTCGAAGGCCGTGTTCAGCCCCTGCATCCGTCTCCTCTCCCTGGCATTGGCAGCCAGTCTTCTCTTGGCAGCATTCTCCATCCTTTCTGAGCTGCACTTCACCACGCAGCCTGGCCCACTTCTGCACTGAAGGTCTGATTCTGTGCCTGAATCCAAAGGACTGGATTGACAGGTCTTCATATTGCATGCAGCTTCGATTTCTCACACCCAAAGAATGCTTTTCAAAAAATGAGGTATTTAAAAAGTTGTAGGGAAGGCACTCCTGTGAGTAGCCTGCGTGCCTCTTGAATCTGTTTCCAGGTATCAACGACAGTTTTTTTTCTTAGCATCTAAAAAAAAATAAAATATATATAGTAATAAAAGGTCTTCTGGTTCTTCTGGAAATACCTGAAAATTGCTTCTTATTGTTTAAAGAAAGAATAAAAGAGTTTTTAATGTCTTACGCCTTCATTCTTTTAATTCCTGTAAACTCAAAGAGATGGGAAAAAATGAAATCTCCATTCTCAAGATGTGTATTACTGAAGAAAAAGCAAAAAGGTTCTTAATGCATTAAAATACATCAATTCCAAATGATCATTTCAGATGAAAGCAGGTCTGCTTCAGCTTAGGAGAGTATGCTGAAATGATGAAGTGTTGCCATCTGAAGACATAACTTGGTAACACAAATCTCTCCTTTCTTGGCTCCTGCTGGCAAGCAATGCTTGTGTCTTACAGAGAACATGAGGCTTTATAGGAACTGCAGAAGCTAAACAGGTGGCAGCAGGTGGGCGGGCGGCACTCGGCGTCCATCCCCGCACCTTCCCACCCTGGGAACCACACAGGGAAAAAAAACAACCCAGTAAAACCCGAACATTTCAGCCTTCATCTGTTGAGAAGACTTCCAAAGCCATTCTGTCCAGCCCTAACAACTTGCCATCTGGAGTAGTGTCTGGCTGGCCTCACAAGGCTCTGGGCAGTTAAGCAAAAGATCCTTTCAATGGATAATCTGGTGCAAGTCAGGAAAAAAAAACCACTGTGCATTGTAGTATTTGTGTATTAAAACACATGAAATTCTGCTAAGATAGTATTAGAGGTAGAAGGAATAACTGTTCTAATGTAGCAGAGAACTAGCTTAATGGTATATGGCTGGGAATACTGCTGTTCCACACTATACAATACCAAAATAAGTAGATTCACATTATTAGAAGCCCCTGAGGAGTCACTATTTTAATATTGTATAAAGTACACAGTATTGCAGAGAGAGTATCACCTTCAGAAAAATGGGGATTATTTATCTGCATGTCAGAAAATCCACTGTCATTAAAATAATTTAAAACGTATTTGAACAGTTATAAAATGTAGCTGTGGATTTATCTAATGAAGACTGTAAAAATATTGGACAGGTTGGGCATAAACACACACACAAAAAATTAAGTATACAAATAGTCTGAAAACTGCCCTTTTCAAAACATCATATTAAAGTACATATGTATGTTGTGAAATAAATAAAAAAAAAGTGTCTTCTAGTAACATCCCTAAACAGGCAAAGAGAATAGCAGAGGATGTGAAATAAAGAAGTATGTTTGCTGGCAGTAAGGAATCATTTCTGCTACAAATTGTAATGACAGAGAAGCCACCACACTCATACTCACACCCCATAATCAACACATCATTTTACTGCACTTGTATTATTAAAACCATTATCTACATAAACTTTCAAATGAAATATTATAAGATCATTTTATGATACACACAAACAACAAAAAAACCCAACCAACCATCGGCCACACAATTATTTATTATCTGTATTGATTTCAAACTTAATTAAATTGTTACCAGCATTCATAAGTTAGTAACTTTTTTCATTAGAGACTGAATACTGTATATTTATTTAGAACTATAGCTCAATTGTTTTCATTATGACTCCAAAACTTGGTGTAGCTGTAAACAGCTGATTAATCCCTAGAAGAAGCAATGACAATGAAATAAGGTTGAATAATCCAAAAACAATAGGATGCAATTGAACACTAATGGACTCCAGCATGACAGATGTTGGACGTAGGCTGTTACGCCCAGTTGCTCTGCTCTTAATATTCTGAATCCTAATGGTCCTAAACAGAGATGATAGTTGGGGTAGGGAGTCTCCATTATTCCATTATCAAAATGTATGCAACATCTTCAATTTTTAAAGAAGTACAACTGCATCATGTTTCATTATAAGTGTTCAACATTCCTATCTGTGTGCATTGACCTACTCTCCCAGACATAAAGAACTACTGCCAGACATTGAAATGCTACTTGCTGAATGCCAGTTTCTGGCTATTTGTGTCTCTGTGAGAGAGCTGAGAACAGTACCTTTCAGAAAAACCACATAACCATTTGCCTTTCACAGAAGGATCAGCAATTAGGACTTGTGAGATATTTCTTCCTTTGAAGACACTTGATGGGAAGTATTCCATGTGCAGTAGGAAAAAACCCCACACCTCTGATCTTTATGCTATTGCTAAAGCATATTTTAGTCCTACAGCTTCTCAGGCCCAAATAAGTTTGTTAGTTAAATCCTTTTGTCTTAAAATAATTCTCAAGGGATTTGTAAAATAAAAGAACACAATAAAATGAAAGTGTTTCAGAAGATAACAAATTTTGTGCATTCTCATGAGACAGCTATTACTCAGTTCAGATAATTAATCACTCTTAGTGTTAAGAGTGTTGTTAACCTCATGCTAGAAATAAGAAAAGCACCCCTTTAAGACATCATATGGTATAACATTTTTTCATTTCTCAGCAGTTTTCCTGTTTTTAACTTCATATGTCCTGTCAGTATGAATTACAACAAAGAATTCAAATATAAAGAAAATCACAGTTCTTAAAAACTTTAAGTCCACTAATGCCTAGTAACATAGCACATGGCAGTGCCGGTAATTTTCCTAATTGATTCACCACCATTATCATGCTTTGATTAACACACTGATAAAATCTCAAGAGAGGAGCTGTGATTTATCACTCTTCCTGAACAAACTGTAACCCTACCTTAGATGATTTACTATCAAATCACAGGACAAGAGCCCAAATCCATCTGCACTAATAACAAACCCCTAAAAAGATTTTATAGCTTATAGGGAAGGCTAAAAATTGTTCCAGGGCAGATCAAAATGCCTGTTTTTCATCACTTATAATTTTTTTAAGTTTCTATTTTACAAAAGAGAAATAAGAAAAGTAAGTCTTAAGGTCTTACACAGACCAATTGACTTAGTTCATTTGCATAGCCCACCAGCTCTATAAAGATGCATTATCTCAAGCTAGAAAATAAACTGCTTTATTGCTCAGTCAATAATAGAAAAGAGATCAATGAATTTTCCCAAGTTTCCTTCACCTGGTTTGATTTCCTCTATATTTCAGCTTGTCTCAGTTACTGCATATGTAATTCTATTCCCCGCCCCCCCGTTTATTTTCAATAATTTTTCAGAGATCTGATTTATTCTCTTTCAGAGAACCAAATCACTTTAGCATCTTTAAGTCACCACTGATATTAGGAAAATAAGATAGTTTCAATCCATTAAAGAAATCAAGCAGTTTCAGAATTTATGACCACATACAGAAATACACTGAAAATTGTCTGCTAGATATCCAAGTTAATAACTCAGATGCAATTATCACAGAACCCACTAAGACTAGCTGGATATATTCCACCTATACTACTATGAAAAACAATCTAATTATTTTTTTGTGGAATGACTGTGGCCAAATACTATCTTTAAAAGGAAGTGAAAGCATATTTCTGGTTCAACTCTAATACCTCAATACCTTCTCTTCTCCAGTTGTACTAAAAATAACATATACAAGCAATGTATCAAAGGAAGAATCTTACCTCTTCCTTCAAGCCAGAACTCACTACTTCATCTCAGGTAGATCTTTTCTAAAAGCCTCATCAAAACTTCTTACCACTGTAGTTTATATTGAGCAAAGCTGAGCCCCTGGTACACCTTATGCTGCTTAATTAAGAGCAGGTGGGTAACTACCAAAATATGATCATCCTTAGGGCCCAATTTCTACTAATACTTGACTCAGCTCATGAGACAGGCTAGAAATCCATGGTGTGCAGAAAATAATGTATTTGCTTCCTCGGTAATTTACATTGTTTCCTCTGTCACGGCTGTAAGACATTCAGAAAATAGAACAACTCATAATTGAATGCTGTACCCTGAACTGAAAGAAAATTTAAATGCTAGCTTGTATGGGGCAGTTGAATAGCAATCTACAGCAGTAAAATAAATTCTCAATCATTTCACCTAGGAATTCCCAGCCTCATAGTGGGCACCCTTTTCTACTGAGTGCTTAGAACATTTCATCTTCCTCTTAAGTCTCTCTGGGATGAGCTTTTCTAACAGTTCATGAAATAAGTCTCCCAGCCACACTTAGGGCTCTACTTGCCATAATACCCTTCAGCTACTGCTTCTTCTCAATTTACCCACTTCTCATTGCCAGTCATCCTTTTCTGCTCCACGTTGTCTTTCTAAAGTAGCTTTTCCTCAGGTAAGGCTCAAAAAGCATGGCCTTCCCCAGTGGTCCTGCACAGAACACTCTTT